CACACACACACACACACACACACACACACACACACACACACACACACCACCTGGCTCCAGGTGGCTTGATCTGACTTCCCCCACCAGCCTTGCTGAGAGAAACAAGCCTCTTCAGGTTCTGAGTTCTGCAGAGATGAGGCAAAGAAGAACCCCCCCCCCCTTGTCACTAAGAAATGCTTTTCAGATCCTCTTGCATATGACGCTCCGGAGAGGGGGGTGTGACTTTGGGGCCAGAAAGAGAGGTATGGGGGGGATGAGGAGGGGAGGAAGGAATAAGGAGTAAGCTGGCAGGTACACGGAGCTGTTTGCTTCGTCCTGAAAAGAAGACGCCAGAAATTCCCTCTGGGCCCCAGGGCTCTGCTGCCACTTCCTGACTGTGCCACATGGGCCAAGTTCCAGAGCCTCGGTTTCCCCAGTGGTGAAATGGGCCTGAGGTCGTCGGGAACATGTGTACGATGAGCTGATGCTGGTGAAGCTCTTGGCAAAAATGCCTGGCATATAGTAAATGCTCAGTAAACAGTAGCCAGAAAAGATAGTAACAATGCCGAGACTAATAGTGACATAAACGTTGGATGGGGCACCCCGGGGACGTGGGGCCGCAGCTGAGTCCTTCCAGCTTCCCCGGCCTGAACCATTTCAAAGTTGAGCACAGGCTCTCAGTGGTGTCAGACTCAGAATGCTGCTCCCCTCAATTACCATGGCAACTGGGGAAAATCAGGAAGCCAGGGGAAGGGAAGCCACTTTTCCGCTGGGCTGGCCGTTCACCTGCTCAAAGCAGCTACCTCGCCTGCGTGCAGGGTTGGGCCCAAAATAGGCCTAAGGCGGGGCACCTCCTCTCCTGGAGAACCAGTTGCCCCGATCTGGGGAGAGGGGTGGCTGGTGGGGAATGGGCAGCCACGAGATGGTAGGGTCAGGGCCCAGGCTGAGCTATGTCTGCAAAAGGCAGAGGTGGCCGGGGTTTGGGGAGAGGGAGACAGAAACCCTGCTCCTTCAGGTCTGTCCTCACCGCCAGGTGTCCTGGTGCAATTGACAGCAAAGTCCCCCGAATGTGGCTCTCCAGACAGAGGTGTGGGGAGACGGGGCCTTGGAGCCCAGGGTGGGAGCTTGTCGTCCTGAGGGGTCCTGCGTGCGGGTATGAGAGCAAAAGAGAAAGAAAGAGAAAGAGAAGGAGAGAGAGATGGGGGGGGGCAGAGTTTAGGCAGAGACTCCCCTTCCTTTACTGTGTTTATTGCCATCAGCTTAGGGGACTCGGACAATATAGTCCTCACAGTAGAAAGAATAATGGCTGTCAGCGTGAACCAAGCATTTTATAGGTAGATCTCATGGGCTCATCGTAAAAATTAAGAGATGATTCCTTTTCTTAGTCCCATCGTACATTTGGGGAGGGGGCAGAGAAGCAGAGGCTCCGAGAGGCACAGAGGCTTGCTCCAGGTCACCCAGTTCATTGGCGGAAAAGCAACTATGAGAACTCAGGTCCTGCTGATCCCGAAGTGGGGCCCTCCCGGCCTGCCCTCCCTGCCCCCGCCACCTCGTGGAGAAAGAGAGTGACTAAGCCAGAGACCTTCTTTCAGGATGGTGGGGGCGTCATCGCTTGTGCCAGGCATGGACCCCGGAGGGCTCCAACAACTGGCGCTGGGACCAGAGACTCACAGCCATGTGGCCGTCCCGGGACTATGTGGAGTGGCGGTCCCTGAAAGCTGCTCATGCGTGGTGCCCCCTGATGTCTCTTCCTCTCCGAGGCTGCTTGGGCATTCACTCTAAGCTGATTCCAACAGGACCCCCATGGTGTTTAAAATGGGGCGGGGGGGGGGGATGTCGGTAAAGCCACCCTTCTCCCCAACTGCTGTAGGAGTCAAGCAGCTATGACACATCCAGGGGTCAGCTCAGAGCAAGCTCTCCATAAATGGTCACCATGAGAACAATTATTCTTGGAGCTTCTCTGGGGCCCACACCCTCAATCCCCGTGTGGATGGTGGGTGTGTAAAAGGCCTCTGCGGGCCGAAAGGAGGCTGCCGCCTGTCCCCCATCTCTGCCACCCTGGGCCCGAACCAGTCCCCACCCAGCAGCTTAGAGGTGAGTCCAGGGGAGCGCAGTGCTCCAGCGGGACCAAGGGGAGGAGGGGGAAGGAGGAGGTTGGCTGATGTGGCCGCCACTGAGGGGGTAATACATTATCCAGGGCTAATGAAAACATAATTATCTTCTTTTGGCTGCAGAGAGGGGCTAATTTAATAGGCTGCGATCGAAAGGCATCTGTTGAATTCACCCAGCAGCGAAAACACTTGAAGGGCTTGGGTGGGGGTGGGGAGAGCGGCAGAGCAGGGCTGGTCAGCGGCAGGCCGGGCAGCAGCTGCATGTGGGTGGCAGCTCCCCCAGGGGAAGGGAGGGGGGTGGGAAGCAGCACGGGGAGGGGTGCAGCAGCTGGGGAGGTGTCCTATGCACAGGCCGACTGGGACTGCTTTCTCACTGCGTGATCTTGGGCCAGTCCTCTGCTTCTCTGAGCCTCGGCCTCCTCATCTGTAAAGTGGGGTCCATCCTGCCTCCCTCCCATTGACTGGGAAGACTAGATGAGGAATATGAGAGGGGTTCTGGCACATCCTAAGTAAGTGTTTAACAAAAACTTCCCCCTTCTGCTGCTTTGCTGAGCCACTTCTAGTTAGCCTTCGGGATTCAGCATTAACACCCCCTCTTCCGGGGAGGCTCCTGCTCTGGGCCCCCCTAATGCCCTGCGCTTGCCTTTTCTTGAGGAAACCCACTTTAGGATATTTGCTGGGTTCCTGCTGGGCTGCTAAGAGCCCCACAAGGGTAGCAAGGGTCTGTCTCATCCGTCACTCAAAGTCAGTGCTTCTCAAAGCATGTTCCCTGGGCCAGAGGCCTCAGCATCCCCTTAGAACTTAGTTACCAGTTCCTGGGCCCTGCCCCCACACCTGCTGAAGCAGACACCGAGGTGGGGGCCGAGCGAGCTGTGTTTCATGCAGGTTCTCCAGGAGAGGCTGGTCCACGCTCAAGTTGGAAAGCTTGTGCTCCAAACAGAAACCAAATTAATGTTTGTTGAATCAATGAATGAAGAGCTTCCTGGGGTCCAGCCATGAAATGGCAATAGCTCCCTAATTAGCCACCAACTGTATACCAAAGGCTGTGCCCCTCCCAGCCACTCCCTGTCCTCTACCACCCCTCCATTCGCCAGCAGTGCCCCTTGGTTGGCCTCTCTGTCCTGAGGTGGAGACCCACAGGGAGTATTGAAAGACCCAGGGGGGGTGCCTCCTCTGTGTCCTCCCTCTGCTCCCACTGCACACAGATGCCCCTTCCCTTAAGTTGTCCTCCCCCCCGCCCACCCACGCAGGTCCTCTAATTCTGGAAAAGAATTAGACCCTGTCCCTGGGTGCCTGGCTTGGGAAGTCACTTAGATACGCTTATGAAGGATCATGCCTGTGGGTCAGTCTTGCACAGAGTGGGAGGGGCAGCCCGCGGAAGGGCCCTAGAGATGGCTGTCCCCAGCCGTGGCATTTTACACAGGGGGAGGCCAAAGTCCAGGGAGGTTTGGTGATTGATCCAAGAGCAACAGCCTGTTAGTGGCCTATAAGATCCTTGTCCTGGCTCCCAGCTCGAGATGCTGGTTCTGGTGCCCCTAAGAGGGGTGGGTCACCATAGTGGCACTGGGGCATCTGTGGGAGGGCAGGCCAGCAGGGCCAGGGAGCAGGGAAAGAGGTTGTTTGAGGGCCTAGAACTCCTGTGAGGGGTGGGGGTGCCACAGTCCCCAGGACGGCTACTGACTGGTCAAACACCCCTGGTAGACATTCATTCATAGGACTCCTGCAGAGAAGAAAGAGGGAGGAACCCTTTAAGGCTTAAAGAGGCTGCCTGGGCCTAGGAAACACTGGATTTGAAGCTGGAACACCTGGCTTCCAGGCCTGGTTCTGTCACTAATGGGCTGTGGGTGCTTGGACAAACCCCTTGGAATCTCTCAGTCTCAGAAGAGTGATCTGAACCAGAAGATGGTTCCTGGAAGTATACACAAAATCAAGCCCAAGTGCGCTTTTCTGGGGTAGAGGGTTTTCAGTATTGAGTAGCTTTTTTAAAAGAGTCTAAAACCTTGGAAAGGCCAGGAGAAACTGAACCAATGGTCTTTCAGGTGCTTTAATGGGCAAAATGGAGGCAACTTCTTGCCCGGGGAAACCCCGCCCCGGCAAGTTTGCAGCTGCCCTTTGCTCTACGCAGCCGTTTCGGCCGAGGCAGTTCCCCGGATGACCGACAGATGGCGCTAAACCTTCACTATAGCCTTCCTGTTTTCCTGAGACTCTTCAGGTACGTTCTGCTCCTGTTTACTCAGCTTTGGGGACCTTCGGGCCTGGGTCCCCTTTACGCTGAGCTGACCTGAATGGCATGAGACTGTTGGGTCATCCTGGGGGCTGTCTGTATCTTCTGGCTGCCACTCAGACTTGCAGTGTCTGTCCATAGAGGAGACACCAAAAAGGATGTGAAGGTGGGGGCATTAGAGTGTGGGCGTCTTGAGCACCCCAGAGAATGAACTGAAAACTCAAAAGGAGCCTTATTTAGTCCTTTTGTTCTCCCCTGAACCCCCAATACAGGACCCCCTCCTGTACTCCCCCATCTCAACCCGAGGTGCCACATCTCAGGCTCCTCCAAACCCTGGAGTGTTTGATAGCCTGTCACACGGGGGTGTGAATGGGAATCAAAGTATTTGCATTTTGAAGGCAAAGACCTGGGGAAGCCAGTGCCTCCAGGGAACAGATGAGGTGGGCTGGCCCTGAGACATCAGGGAGCGGTAGGACCTGTGGCTAACTGGAGTGCAGGGTCCACCTAAAGGCATTCACATTCAAAGTCAGCCATCAGTGTAAGAATTCTGACCAGGGGAATGGATTTCAGCACCTGGCGGTGTCGATGTTTGAATGCAAGGCAGGTCTTAATCAGAACATAAAGCAGTGGTCCCAGGGGCATCTGGGTGACTCAGTCAGTGAAGCATCCGACTCTACGTATCTATGGGCTCAAGTCATGATCTCACGGTTTGAGTTCAAGCCCCACATCGGGCTCCGTGCTGACAGCATGGGACCTGTATGGACTTCCCTCTCTCCCTCTCTCTCTGCCCCTCCCCTGCTTGCATGCTCTCTCTCTCTCTCAAAATAAAGAAAGAAACTTAAAAAAAAAAAAAAAGGAACATAAAGCAGTGGTCCTTAAACTGCCAGGGGCATGAGATTTACCTGAGAAGACCACCAGTTCCTGGACCGTGCCTCCATAGATATTGGATCTGTAGGTCTTGGAGGGGGGAGAAGAGGATTCAAGAGGCTAAATTTTTAGCAAACTCCTCAGGGGAAACTGAGGCAGGCGGTCTTCTGGTCCCAGGTTGGCTACTCCATGCCAGCGAGGCCACCCCAGTGACCTGGGCTGGATCCTCAACCTCCACTTGCAAATACTTGGAGTTCAATGACACAGCTTCTCAGCAACAATGAAGGCTCCC